AGAAAGAAGGAGCTCCTACCCTTTGCAACAGCATGGATGGAGCTGGAAAACATTATGCTAAGCGAAACAAGCCAGGCAGTGAAAGACAAATACCATATGATCTCACCTTTAACAGGAACCTAAACAACAAAACAAAGAAACAAGCAAAATATAACCAAAGACGCTGACAGTGCCCACAGGGGAGAGTAGAGGGAATTTCAGGGGACATTGGGAAGGGTTCACGGGAACAAACTTAAAGGACACGTGGACAAAAACTAGGGGGAGGGTGGTAATGGGAGGGAAGTGGGGAGGGTTGGGTGGGTGGGCTGGATTGGGAGTAAAAGGGAGAAAACTGTACTTGAACAATGATTAAAATAAAATTAAAAAAAAGAGAGAGAGAGAAAGACAACCCGGTGAAATACTACGCAGAAGACAGGAACAGGGATTTCACAGATGAAGAAACACAAATGGCCCATAAACACAGGGAAAGATGCTCAATCTTTTCAGTACTTACGGAGTTATAATTAAAACTATGATACTATGTATCACCCCCCAGACTGACAAATGTTAAAAGTGTCTGACAACACCAAGCACCGGGCAGAACGTGGAGAGTCAGGGAGTTTCTGACACGGCCGAGGGGAGTAGAGATTAGTGCGGCTACTTTGTTGAAGCAAGTTGGCAGTGCCTGGTGGAGCTAAGTGTGCCTAACTCCTGGCCACGTAATTCCACTCTGCTGACATTCGCACATGTGGCCACCAGGAGTCATGGACAAGAAAGTTTATGGCAGCATTGTGAGTGAGGGAAAAAATGGAGGCAACCCAAATGTTCCCCAGCAGTGGACTGAATATATAATTATGATGTAATTAAGTAACGTAGTACAACCAAACATTGAAAAAAATGAGTAAATTACCATTACATCGGTACGGATGAACTGTAATGTAATTTTGAGTGAAAGAAGCAAGTTGCGGAAAAAATATGTAATTGTGTAGATTAAATGAATCATGTGACTTATGCATACTTGCGAGATAATAAAATATAGGAAATGATTAATACAAAACTCAGGACACTGGTGCCGGGAGAGCAGCCGGTGTGGTGGGAGGGGCCGCACGGGGTGAGGGCCCACAGGTAGGCCAGACTGACCAGAGCGCGCTGCTTCTCAGGGAGAATCGTGGGGAGATGGGGACATGCTCTATAACTTTTAAAACTGTTCACGCACACTTTATACACCATTTGATATATTTTTAATTGTAAAACTATGAGGGGGACCCCCAAAACCCCCAGAATTTATTATAAAAATTGTGTATTTATTCTTACATGTTTAAATTTCATTCACCTTTAAAGTACTCTTTTTTAAAAAAAGATTTTGATTATTTATTTTTAGAGAGAGAGGGGAAGAGAAGGAAAAAGGGAGGGAAAGAAACATCGATGTGTGAGAGATACATTGATTGGTTACTTCTTGCACACCCCAGGTCCCTAGGTGGGGACCTGGCCTGCAACCCAGGCATGTGCCCTGACTGGGAATCAAACCAGAGTCTTTTTGATTTGCAGACTGGTACTCAGTCCACTGAGGCACACCAGCCAGCGTTCAGAGTACTCTCTATTTGATTCAATACACCTATCAAGACTTTTTTCCACTGCTCAAAATAGTTTCTGAACTTGTATATTTTGATGCCTTTTAGTACTTCTGCTATTTTTGTTTCACCTCTTCTACATCAACAAAAGATTTCTCTTTGAGGCCTTTTTTCATTCAGGGGAACAAAAAAAGTCAATCAGGATGAGATTGCATGAATAGGGAGGCTGGGGCATGGGGATCATGCTGTTTTGATCAAAAACTGCCAGACATTCAGCACAGTGTGGGCAGGTGTGCTGGTAAATCACCCATCATGAAATGGGCAAATGCATTGAAAGAGTCTTCAGAAAAAATTCACTGAAGCTGAATGCAGCCTCTCACAACAACGCCATCTGGCACACTGATACAGATGGGTTCCTAGAACACTGCCTAGCTGGGGAATCCTATACTACAAGGGGCCCGCCCTCCAGAAGGTAATTCTGTTTTTGGGGGTGTCTGCCCTTGTATATTTTAAAAATTTAAGAGATAGTAGGAAATGTTTTGAAATTAGATGTATTAGGGTATTGAAAATTCTCGAATATTGAAACTCATCACCTAAAAGTGTTTGGAGGAGACTTAATTTTCTAGGTTAAGGCCTCCCCATATTTCAGTTTCAGAGTTTGGGGGTGGGGAGGGAAGGAGACCTAGAGGAATATCGCTGGCATGGCAGTATACACCAAGTGTGGGGGACGCTGGTCCCTGGACCCGACTGCTTCCCCTCCTCCCTCACCCCCTTCTTCCCGGCCATGAATATGCAGGGACTGACTGCCCAGTTCTGGGCGCTGTCCTTGGGGCAGGTAGCCAGCAGGGAAAGCCCCGCCTTGGTGCTCACAGCAGTTTTCAAACCTTGGTTAGTACAGACTTTGTTACTCTCCACCTCCTGACTGACTTCACAGTGAAAGCCACTTCAGGGCTGTGTCATAATCCAGTCTTCGAGATGTGTTAAGGAAATCTTTTATGTACGTATTTAAACATCCCAGTTGAATGCGGTCTCTGAAGTTTTCAGTGTAGTATCGTTTCTGGTTTGGTGCTAGCCCATAGTTAATATTTCCAATTCCTGTATTTTTTATTTTCTAATTTTTTCTCTCTTGATGAACCCTAATTATTTGGGATTGACTTTGATGTATTGATTTTACCATGTCTATCTATATTTTTGAGACTCAAAATTGTATCCAATTTGATACCTTTTCTTAAAGCAGTATTTTCAAAGCACAACAGGCATCCTGCTGGAGAACATTAAGTGGGGCAAAGGGAAACATTTTTTTATTTGACAGTCATGTAGTTATTTTAATGTGTATTGTAAAATATACATATGGAACCTGTGATTTCATGGCTCCTGTTACTCAGGGCGCAGCTAAGATAATCCATCTCCCATAAACTGCATGAGCGAATGGCCCAGGTGGCTCCCAAGTAGAGCAAAACATCATGAAATGAATACATGGAGTACAGATGTGGAGTACAGATGTGGGGTTCAGTTGTAAAGGTGAATTTAGGTATTCTCTGATGTCCTCTGATTGTCTCCTACTTGTATCATAGTTCTCAAAAAATAAAGCACATGTGGTTTGTCAGGAAAAAAGCAACCTATAAAATTCATCTAGGCACATGGTTTGTGCAGATAACATATTCTGTTACAGGACAGGTTCTGGAAATACACAAATACGTGAAGTATAGATCCCACCCTCGCGGAGCACCAGGCTCGTAGAGATAGGCCCGCCAATTAACAAGTGCAGGGCCACGAGGAGAGCGCACCAGTGGGAGTGCGGACGGGGTGCAGGGGCAGCTCTGAAGGGTGGGCACTGGCTGACGGAGCAGTGGGGGAAGTCTCCCCAGAGGAAGAGAGGCTGCAAGCAGTCTTGGGGGCTGAGCAGAACGTTCCCAGAGAACCAGACTGGGAGAGGCAGACCCCAGAACGGCAGGGGCCAAGACACCGAGAGCTGGGAGAGCACGCGGCGTTGGGTTAGCTGGAGCACGTGCTTGTCGTTCATGCTCATGTGAGGGGAAAGGTGAGGGCGAGGGGCTGGGTACGAAAGCTGGGGCATGTGGTGGCATTTACTGAGATCTAATTCTGAAAGTGATCGCCAGCCCTTGAAGGGTTTTGAGCAGACGACTGACGTGTCTGGGGAAGTGAAGGACCGGACCGGACCGGACTGGACCAAAGGAGGGAAAACCAGCATCACGTTACAGTCAGTCATGGGACGAAAGGACCAGGACGGCCATTGGGGGAAACTCAGAGTGTCGTGCTTTGTTTTGTTTCATGTTATTTTCAGGCAACTGCATTGCATTTAGACTTTTCTGAGAATTTAATGGGTCAAAGGGGATCGTGCTAGGTGATTTGAAGTCAATATAGGAAATTTCTGAAGGAACTGGGTATTATTCCATCTTTACTTTAAACAAGGTATTAACTAACTTTGCCTGTATGGTCTTAAACACCAATCGATTTTTGCTTATTTTGGGTTAAAATGTGTATAAGCAGCATATAAAGGCAAACGGAGAGCATGGTATCGATGAGGCACACGGCTGTAAGCAAGCAAGTCCTCTCTTCCAGTGAGGTGGTCCGTGCGGTAATAGACTGCAGAGGCAAGAGAATGAAATGTTTAAACTCCTTTGCAGTTAATATCCTGCCAAGAAAATCTCAGACAATTGTGTTATTTAAAGGGAATCGGTTGGACAACAAAATCCATGTCCTTTAAAGAGCCTCCTTTAAATCACGAATGTTCTACCTAATTGTGCCATATGTTTACTTTGGTGCATATTTACTATTAAATCTTAAACTTAATAGTCTTTGGGTTTCCTGTGTATTGTTCTACCTCCCAAAGAAATGTATTGGTACGCCAACCTATTTTTGCACCTCAGCATATCATAATTTCGGGTCGCGGGTCTGGTGCTGACCGCCTGTGTTTGGGAGTGCTCATTTGTTTCTGTGTCCACAGCCAGCCCCTGAACACCAAATTCTCTGCCTCACATTTATTTTGGGAATGTTCTCCTAATGGGCACGTTTTGGCATGTGGCTTAGTCAGCTAATTGGCTAACATTCAAAAGCCTTGAGCTCTCAGCACTTCAGCCCAACACAAATTTCTGACTCCAATTAGGGAATGAACTCTAAAATCTTATATAAAAAAAAAAAAAGATCCAGAAGCATCAAACGGGGGAATTTATGCGGAGGGCACATAGGGATGTTCAAAGGGGAAGTTGACATGGCCTTGGTAACGTGACTGCACAGAGCGATGAGGAAGGAAGCCAGAAATGAAGGGCCACCAAGGGCCCGGGCACAGCCCAAGAACGTGGGTTACAGTGGAGCAGAGTGTCCGTGGAAAGCTGTGTTTTACAGCTCTTGTCACCATTTCTTTTGAAATTCTTTTTCGTGCTTTTGAAGATATAACTCCTTACTTCCTTATTTTCTACTTTGACACAGAAATCCCCTGCAAAGAAGCTGAGCCATGCAATTAGTAAATCTTTGGGGTGCGTACCCACCAGAGAACCCCCGCATCCTGTTTTTCCTGAGCAACCAGAGAAACCACTTGACCTTGCAAATATAGTGTAAGTATACACCTGGATGTGGGTGTGGACTAGACTGACCTGGAGACCTTGCTAAGTTCTTTTGGATCCAAACCACTTAACATGAACATTTAACCTTCCGGTTTGGGGAAACGTAGACTTCAAGCTCTCATCTCTTTAAACCACCGTGAATGTCTGTGTAGATACCTAGCTCCGGAGCCCTGAGGGCTAGTGACATATTACAGTCTCCAGAAGAAGCATTGACACATTGGAGAGTAATTGCTGTGCTGGACTTAGCCAAGTTGCCTTTTGTTGTTGGTGTGCTATTCCCTTAAAACAGTGGTAGAGGTTGTTTCTTCTCTATCGCAGTAAGGCCTATAGATTTTAAAAATTTGTTTAGACAACATGGAAATGAATACCAACCTGATTTGCTCTTTCTGTATTGAGAGAAAATTAGGAAACATAAGGCTATATTTTATAAACGAAACTAGAGATATGTGTGTGTGTGTGTGTGTGTGTGTGTGTGTGTGTGTGTGTATTTAATTGAATATTCATGCTAGAAAGCTGAAGGGACCAAAAGAGTTAGAAAAATAGAGAGAGGAAAAGTAAGGAGGAGGAGCAACAAAGATGGATGCTATTCTGATCTCTTCTCTCTGAATGAAATGTTGGTACTAAGTTTAGTCTGCTGGATAAAGTTGGTAATGGTTGAGCATTCGTCTTTATCAGGTGTTAGAAGTTTTTCTGTTGGAGTAGACATTCACTTTCCTTTCCTACCTGATGGTAGAATAATGCAAGCATGTGGCTTAAAAGTTCAGTAATACAGAACTTAACATGAAACCCAGCACATCCTCCCACACTTCATTGTGTTTTGTTTGGCTTTCGGATCTACTAGCGGATACCTCTGTATCTCTAAACAGTGCATTTAGAGCACCATTTCTTGACTTAATCCGTTTTGGACATTGTTGAATCCCTTCTGGGCATAAGGAATCAACCCATCCCAGTTTTTTGTAATTACGAGGTCTGTCTGGAGCACGTCCAGCCATTGTTAATATAACGAGAACAGTTTGCAAGACACCAGTGTAACCTGGCAGCCAAGGAGAGAGGACTGGAATGTGCATGCGTGAACAATGACGACATCACTGTACTACCAGTGGGGTCGGGAGGTGCCATTGAGCGAGCATGTTTATTGTGTGGCTGTTGCATTCAAAATGACTGAGTAGAGCAACGAATTTGCCTCAAATTTTGTGATAAGCTTGATCCTCCATGGAAGCTATTTGGATAATTCGGAAGGCGTTCAGGGATGATGCAGTGAGTGCAGCGCAAGTAAAAGTGTGGCACGGGTGCTTCAGCGATGGTTGAGAGTCTGTGGAAAGTGATCTGCATTCTGGAAAGTCTGCAATAAGCACAGCACCTGAGAATGTTGACCACATACGGGCTGCAATAACAAAGATTGGCGACTGACAGCGCGAGAACTAGAGGCTGATCTGGGGATTCCGAAAACGACTGTGTCCAAGATTTTGACTCAGGATCTGGGCATGAAACGTGTGGTGGCAAAATTTGTTCCCCAGCTTCTGCCACCAGAGCAGAAGGAGCATCGTGCTGCAGTTGCTGATGACTTGATTCAAATCACTACCAGTGAACTAGATTTCCTCAAGGTCATAACTTGGAAAGGGACTGAGCTGTCATTGACCTACATACCATGTTTCTTGTGTCTTGTATCTTCTTCAGTCAGTGTCTCTGTTTTTCATAGTACGTGGCTGGATGCTTTCTGGACAGACCTCGTGTGTCACCATTTTTTTACATTGGCCAACTTCGTAATTGTAAATGATGTTCCTAACCCTCTATTTCTTCTAAGTTTCCTTGACTTTTGTATAAAATGAGAAAATTGGTCCCTTCCTTCTATTTCCTCCGTCTCCTTGCGCCTCCTAACTTGTGCCATCTGTGCCTTCACCTTCATGTTGTCAAGACTGGTGATACCTCTGTTCCCTCACACACAGGGTTAAATCTAAAAGTTATAAACCAAATAACAGCATTTACAGTTAATACCAATTATTACAAAGTCCAACAGTGTGCTGTGATTCTGTATGCTCTTTCTTGTAGTTCCAAGTTCATGGCCTCTGTGACCTCTGCCTGATTTCAGTGGGAGCTTCTTTCTCATATGACACTGATTGCTCAAAACCATGCCTGTTGACTTTACAGTCGCATCGACTTTCCGACTTGTGTTTTCTTCTGTTTCCCATTGCTTTTGTCTTCTTGCTAGAGGAAAAAAAATGCTTTTTTACCCACTGTGTTCCATACTGAATTTTACCTGTTGTGTGTAATCCATTTTGGGGGTTAAATTTGTTAAAAATTTTCCCTTTTTGGTTAGTGTTTTTAATGTTTCTTTTTTCTTTTTTTTTTTTTTTACTTAAAAAGAAGTCCTTGTCATCCTGACAGGTATGGCTCAGTTGGTTGGGCTTTGTTGCATGAAGCTAAAGGTTGCTGGTTCGATTCCTGGTCAGGGAACCTGCCTGGATTGTGGGTTTGGTCCCGGTTGGGGAGCATATGAGAGACAACCAATTGATGTTTCTCTCTCGCATTGATGTTTCTCTCCCTCTCTTTCTCCCTCCTTTCCTCTCTCTCTAAAATATAAATAAATGAATAAAATATTTGTTTAAAAAGTCCTTGTGTATCCCAACATTGTAGAGGTTTTTTCTCTCTCTCCTTTTTTCCTCTTTAAGTTTTGAGAATTCCCCTTTCACATATGTCTTTAATTCACCGGAAGTAGATTTTTGTGTATAGTGTGGTATAGAATATGTAATTCTCTTTTTTTCTTCGCTTTTGAATAATAACTTGTCTCAGAGCCATTTGTTGGATAATTTATTATTTCTCCGCTGACCTACAATGCCACTACTGTCACAAATGAAGTTTCCAAATACACACGGTCTTGTGTCTGGGCCCTTTCTTCTGTCCCTTTGGTTAAATTGTTTATCCCTATGCCAATATCCTAATTACTACAAGGGATTAAGTAATCTTTTTAAAAGGGTGTCTTATCTATTCTTTGCTCTTTCATATAAAATTTAGAATCAGCTTGTTGAGTTCCTCATTAATTGAGTTCCTCATTATTTGAGTTCCTCATTATTGAGTTCCAAGTTTTGTTGGATTTTTATCAGCTCTTCACTGAATCTGAAGATCAAATTGGGGAGATTGACATCTTTACGGTATTAATCTTTCATCCCAGGAATGTTTTATGTCTTTCCATTTATTTAAATATACTCTTATGCCTTTCAATAAAGCTTTCTAATTTTCCCCAGAAGGGTCTTATGTAAGTTAGATTAATTCTTATGTACTTTATACTTGTTGTTGCTGTTGCAAGCAGCACCTTTTCCCCTACAGTTTAAAAATATGATTTACATGCAATAAACCACCCACTTTAAGTGTACAATCCGCTGAGTTTTGGCAAATGCATATAATTGTGCAAATGGTATCTTTTTGAATTATGCACCATAACATTCTGTTGCTGGTGTGCGGAGATGCAAATTGGTTTGGTGTTTTAATCCACTGTGTAGTCATCTTGCCACGTCAACATGCTCATTGATTCCGGAAATTTGTACCCAGGTTCTTTGGGATTTTCTCTGAATAATACAGTACCTGCACATAGTGACAGCTTTGTTTCCTCTCTCCCGCTCCTTAAACTTGTAAGCATTAATCATACTTTTTTTTTCTTTTTGGTCTTATAATACTGGCTAGAACCTCCAGTGCAATACTGAATAGAAGTGGTTTAACAGGCATTCCTGTGTTATCACTAATCCCAAAGAGAATGCTCTCAGCATTCATGTAGTATGTCATTTGATGTAGTCTTTGAATGAACTGTTTATCAGGTAAAAGAGGTTTTCTTTTATTACTAGTTTGCTAAGACTGCTTTCTTTTTGTCATGAATGGATGTCAGATTTTCTTAAAGACTTTGCGTTAATTGAGATGATCATATACACTTCTTTATTCTATTAATGTAGTGAATTACATTTTTTAAACAATCCTGGAATAAATGTAAATTGACCCTCCTTTTAAGGCACTGCTAGGTTTCATTTGCTGATATTTCATTTAGCTTTTGCCTATGTTTATGAGTTAAATTGTTCTGTAATTTCCCCTTTTTTTGTCTTTAGGACAAAGTTTGCCTAGTTTGCTTACTTTAAAAAGTTGAGGAACATTCTCTCTTTTTATATTTTTTAGAAGAACTTGCTTAAGATTGGAATTATGTGCCCCTCAGCCTTCTGTGTAGGAAAGTTTTAATGGTTAATTCCATTTTAAAAAACAATTATAAGACTATTTTCATTTTTAATTTATTTTTTAGTCACTTTGGAACATTTTATATTTGTAGGAACTTGTCAGTTTCTTCTAAATTTTCAGTTATTGGCCCAAAGTTTGTAATATTTTGTGTACAGTATGTAAGCTACTGTTCCTTTTTTCACTCCTAATTTCATGTATTTATGGTTTCTCTCCTTCTTTTTTATTTGAAAAATCTTGCCATAGGTTTGTCTAACCTACTGGATTTTCAGAGGACCAACGTTTGTTTTTTACGATTCTCTTATTGTATGTAATTGTATTTTTAAATTTCACTTCCACCCTTACCTTCATTATTTTTGTCACAGTTTCTTTGACTTTCTTTTGCTACTCTAAGTTCTTTAAAGACATGGTAGCTTACTCACTTCAAGTTTTTTCGCCTAATATAAGCATTTAAGCCTATTAATTTCTCTAAGCACTACCTGAGTGGTGTTCCAGGTACATTATATAATTTTTTTGTTTAGCCCTAAATATTTTCCAAGTTCTGATAAGATTTCTTCTTTGAGATGTATACTTCCTTAATTTCCAAACATATGGGCATTTTTCTAGATCCTTTTTGTGATTAATTTTTAGTTCAATTCATTTTAGTCCGCATTATTCAGTTCTTTCAGATTTGTTGATACGTATTTATTACCTAACGGAGAACCCAGTTTCTATCCTGGTCCCTGTAAATTTGGAAATAACATATATGCTGTGCTAGCTGGGTGCAGAATCCCTACTGA